GGGGGGGGGGCTGAGCTGCGGTGTTTTCTTTTTCTCTCTCGTCTCCTTCTCTTTATTTTTTTTTATGAATTTATTTTCTTTTTATTTATTAAAAAGTATTTTATTTTTATTTTTTTTGTCTTTTTGCCCCGTTTCATGCAGCCAGAGAGGGAGGGGCCTGTCTAGTGCGAGTTGCACCGAGCAGCAGTCGGTGACCGCAGAGCAGCAGCAGCAGCAACAGCAGCAGCAGCAGCAGCAGCAGCAGCAGCAACAGCAGCAGCAACAGCAACAGTAAACTGTCCCCCGCCAAGAAAACCCGAGACAAAAGCGGGCTTCTTCTCCGTGCATATCTGGGGGGCCCCCCGCACCGCAGCAGCAGCAGCAGCAGCAGCACCTTCTGCTGTCTATACACCTCAGCAGCGCCTCTGGATTCTCTTTCTCTGTAAACTGAAAAAGGCAGCAATGGCGGAGCTCAGCTCGGACTCTGACGACGACTGCATCTGCACGGGCTCGGACCCCCCGCCGCCAGCTGCTGCTCAGCACAGGGGCCCCCGGGGGGGCCCCCGGGGGGCCCCCCAGCCAGCAAGGCCCCAGCGTGCGGTCTTCTCCGGTTTTTCGGGTGCAGCAACGACTGTGTTTTCAGCCAGAGTTGAGTTGAGCGGTGCATGCGCTGCAGCAGAAGAGGCAGCAGGGGATTCAGGTCTGGGGGCATACAGCAAACAGCAGCAGCAGCAGCAGCAGCAGCAGCAGCAGCAGCAGAAAGAAGCAACCCCCTGGGGGCCCCTCCTAGGCTGCTGCGGGTCCCCTGCTGCAACAGCCAAGCGCCGCGCTCTAGAGAACCTGGAGCGGCAGCAGCGGGCTCAGCAGCAGCCGGAGACGCAGGGCCCCTTCAGCCCCCAGAAGCCGGCGGGGCCCCACCCGTACGTTGTGCTTGATAGGGGCCCCTGCTGCAGCAGAGCTGTATGCTGCATGCACTGAGCAGCAGCAGCAGTGTACACTCAGTGAAGGGGAGAACAGTGTCTGGGTGTTCTTTGTTTGTTGTCTGCATGGATGCATATACAGCAGCAGCTGATCTGTGTGTGTTTGCTGCTGCATGCGTTGTGTATGTGTTTGCTGCTGCTGCAGCTGCAGGCGGCCAGAGCCGCGCGCGCTGCAGAAAGCTGCGGGGATACTGCGGCCTGACGAGAGGGTGCTGGACGTGCGTCGTCTGGATTTCAGCCAGCAGCTGGCGGGGAGGCCCCGCAGCAGACAGCAACCACCACCACCAGCAGCAGCAGCAGCAGCAG